AGTTCAGGCCTGAGGGCAGTGGGGGTTGGACCATGACCCTGTATATGTACCAAACACAAGTGTCAGGAGGTAAAGGGACAGGGAGTGGAAGGGCCCTGTGAAACTTTCATTTCAATGGGACATAGTCCAGAGACAGTGCATTTGACATCAGCATCTATGGCTTCTGCTTTCTTGACCTGCATGTGGTGGCTCCATGGTGTGACGCCAGCTACCTTGGCTGTCATAGAAGTGGAGAGAATCACCTCACAGGGCCCTTTACAGGTTAGTTTAAGCGTCCCTTTGGCTACTCTCTTGACCCAGATGTTATCACTGTATTGAACAAGGGGTCATCTGGGTCTCTAGGACAGTTCAATGAATAGCCTGTGTGGAGAACTGGAGGGCCTGTAGTGGCGTGAGAAACGAATGGATAGAGAGGACAGCCAACTGCGGGTCTCTGAGCCTGGGAAGCGGTGGGGGAGGTCTTCCAAACATAGTCTCATGGGGGTTAAATCTTTTCCTATAAGGGATGCAGCAGGTCAAAAGCAAAGCAAAGAAAGGAGGTCAATCCATCCTTTGCTAGACTCTAATGAGAGTTTTGTTAAAGTGTCTTTTAATGTCCTGTTTATCCTTTTACCTGTCCAGAACTCCGAAGTTTTAAATCTATGTCTAAAACTTTAGCTAGTAATTTAGAGGGTCTGGCTGTGAAAGCTAGACCACTGTTGGACCCCATTACTAGAGGGAGGCCAAATCAGGAATCAGTTCCTGGAGGGACTTTTTAGCTACTATTTGAACAGTTTCAGTTTGGGTTAGGAACACTTTTACCCATCCAGAAAAGGTATCTTTTAAAAAGTAGCAAGTACAGGGGCTGGAGAGATGGCTCGGAGGTTAAGAGCACTGGTTGTTCTTCCAGAGGTCATGAGTTCAATTCCCAGCAACCACATGATAATTCACAACCATCCGTAATGAGATCTAGAGTCCTCTTCTGGCCTGCAGGAACACATGCAAACAGAAGACACCTTGATCTGAGCTACTTGGAAAGTTGTGTGGGTCCCAGATGAGTAGCCTGGTGAAAGTCAGTTACCAGGGTCCTGACAGTTGTTTCTGGGAGAATGATCTTTCCTTTTGGTGTCCTCCATCAACCTGAGGCTTTGAGCTGTCCCTTTCTTCTTTACCATGGAGTCTCAGGCAGCACTGAGTCATGTTATGTCATCAGAACATCAATAGGCTCCACTGGTCTTAGGGCTGTTGTTGGTCAGTCAGGTGAGAAGCCCAGCAGCAGAGGACAGCAATTTGTAGGGGAAATCAAATAACGTCTAGGAGGGCCAAGATTTTTAAAATAAGTAGTGAGAAGACCTCTTTCTTTCTTTCTTTCTTTCTTTTTTTTTTTGGCTTTACGAGACAGGGTTTCTCTGTATTGTTTTGGAGGCTGTCGGACCATCCCGGCCTTGAACTCACAGAGATCCGCCTGCCTCTGCCTCCCGAGTTCTGGGATTAAAGGTGCGTGCCACCACCGCCTGGCTTTTTTTTTAAAGATTTATTTATTGATTGATTGATTATGTATACATTGTTCTGCCTGCATGGATGCCTGCTGGCCAGAAGAAGGCACCAGGTCTCATTACAGATGGTTGTGAGCCACTATGTGGTTGCTGAGAATTGAACTCAGGACCTTTGGAAGAACAGACAGTGCTCTTAACCTCTGAGCCATCTCTCCCACCCGAGAAGCCCTCTTTCTTCATGGATCATACCATGAATATTCCTGAAAGTAAAAGCATTCCGACTTTTATATGTGTGTATATGTATATGGTGGTAGACTTTTCTCCATCTGAGAGCCTGGGTCAGATAAATCAGTTCTCTCTGGGATGAGCTACCTGGCTTGGGTCCAAATCAGTTAAAGTGACTGCTGCAGCTCCCAGGTACCTGTTCTTATCTTTCATCACCTGACAGTCATGGATGATCAGCTGCATCATCAGGAAACAGGGTAGCCAAATTAACGGTGGAGGCAGTAGGTTTCTCAAATCAGACTCGAGGGTGGGCCAAGAGTAGGGTCTTGGACTGGGTCACACAGGCATTAGACAGCCAGTGTTCTGGTGCTGTGAGTATACAATCTTGACGCAGAGTTACCTTGCTCGATTTCTTCCATTAAACTAGTATTAGCTGCCACAGCTCTTTGACAGGTGAGCCATCCTGTGGCTACAGGGTCCAATTGTTTGGACAGGTATGTCACAGGGTGCTTCTATGGGTCCCAAAGTTTGGATTAAAACCCCCTTTGTCTTTTGTTTAGTCTTAGTACAGATTAGGAGCTGGTGTATAGAGGCCTTGCTGTTTCCACAAACTCTGGTATCCAGAGGCAGAAATAGATGTACCTAGGAACTCTTTGTCTCTTAGTCCTTGGAGTTTGGATCTGAAGGATGGCAGCAATCTTATCTGAGACAGGATGCTTTTACCTCTCCTCTGCTGGTAGCCAAGATAGGTAGCCTTTCATAAAGTTGGGCTATTTTAGCTGACATCTTGTAGCCCAAGGTCTGTAACTCTTGCAGCAGTCCTCAGTGGCCCTTTTATAATCTATTTTCCCGGTAAACATCTGGCAGAAGGGCAGGAGGTCTCTATTTAATGTATTTAAATCCTGGGGAAACCTGGTCCAGGTATGTTGCCCACTGTAACCTCCCACTGGGTCTGTACATTTAAAGGCAGAGATGGGTTGACTCATCTCTGCCAATGGGAAGCAGAAGAATGTGCCTTTCAGGTCCAAGATAGTATACAATTGTTTCTCTGTAGGAGTCAGTCTCATGAGAATCGGAGGTCCCAGGTTTCTTCACAGGCAGGAGAGCTGTATTCCAGTGTGACTGTGACTGGCAGGGGACCAGGATTCCTGTCTCTTCCAAACAGGGAATATGGATTGCAATTTCCCCTTTTGTGTCCAGGGTCATTGGGTATTGTTCAATATGGACAGGGGTAGCTGAACTGGTAGGAACGTGATACTGGGTCAGTCCTGTGGTGGTGGGGCGTTGCTTTCTGCTTACATGTCTGGGAATCATTATCAGTTTGAGAGTCCAATTGTATCTTAAGATTGGAGGCAGAACTTTTAGCGAGGAGGTATTCTTCTGACAGAGGGTGGGACACCAAAAGTTTGCTGGGTATCTGTAAGTATAACTGTGTCTCATCATCAGAAGGTGATGGTAGCTTTCAGTTTAGGCAAAAGGTCTTGTCCCAATCATTTGTCTGTTGTTAACACCCTTTGAGCTACCTCAGGCAACTGGAACCTGCTTATACCTTTAAGGTTTTTTTTTTTAACTTTTATAACTTTTTCTACTATCTAGGGCCAACTGGGTGACAAAGGAAATATTTTTAGTAGTTGTCTTTAATCCTTTAAAAAGGACCTAGTTAAAGTTGTTTAAAGTCTCCTTGGTCAGTAAGTTTTGAACAGAAGGGAAAATCTATTCTGTCCAGGCTGCATTGTCTGGAAATGATCCTCCTGCCCGGTCCAGGGTCCTGGTTGTTTTTTATATTGTTGTTGTTTTTGTTTTTTGCTGTTGCTTGTTCATTTGTTTTACTTTTTTAGAGAATGGTATATTTCATGAATCATTGATTAAAAAGGAGACATAATCCATGAAAGAGAAGGAAGGGAATTTTCTCTTTTCCTTCTGGCTCATGCCGGGGTAACTCTCCCCCCTTCCTGGGACTGCTTAGAGCAGGCACAGAGCTGAGGGGATGCTCACCTGGGGGAACTATTTCCCCCTCTCCCTGTGTGCACTCTCAGATGGCAGGTAGCCCTGGATGAGAGGTCCAGTACCTCCCACCTCCACATAAGGTCCAACCCTGACCTTGATCAGAAGTCAAGCAACAAAGCAAGCAAATGTTCCTGCTCCTGCAGTGGGACAGGTGGAGGATATTTTGGGTCTCTGGGTGACCTGGCAGAGAAATTTGCAACTTCTCTCCTATTTCGAATAGAAGGCATCTTAACCAGATTCACCTCTGTAGGTGACAGACCAGGAGACTTTTTAACTCTTTTCTTTTGGGGGTAGAGGTATCAGAACTCCCTAAAGTGTAAGGCAGCAATTAATCAAAGAGATCCCTTGGAACCTGGAATATCTCAGGTTGTGCACCCCTTGTGAGTCCCCCAACTCAGGTCCCTGCGGTAATTTGAATGTAATTGACTCCCATAAGCTCATAGGGAGTGTCACTATTAGGAGGTGTGGCTTTGTCTGAGTATGTATGGCCCTGTTGGAGGAAGTGTGTCACTGTGGGGGTAGGCTTTAGGGTTTCCTATGCTCAAAATACCATCCAGTGTCTCAGTCTAATTTCTGTTGTCTTCTGATCCAGATGTAGCCAGTACCATGTTTGTCTGAGTGCCCCCATGCTCCTCATCATGATGATAATAGACTAAACCTCTGAAAAATGCAAGCTGCCATCTCTATGAACTCTTCCTTTTTAAGAGTCGCCATGGTCATAGTGTCTATTCACAGCAATAGGAATCCTAACTAAGATAGTCCCTAACAGTAGAGGGCACAGGTCTTAAACCAAGGGAAGGGGAGGATCTCACTTCAGAGAATACCACTAGTCAATATAAGGAAATGAAACTGGCAGAGACACATAGAAAGACACAGACAGTCAGTCAGTCAGTCAGTCAGTCAGACAGACAGACAGACAGACAGACAGAGACACACACACACACACACACACACACACACACAGTAAAAACAACCAGGGATGGCCACCGCATGTTCATACACCTGAACAGAGAGAGGGATCCAGTGATGTCTCACATGGATCCATGACTCAGGATTAGCAGCCGTGTCCCACCTCTCTCCTATGTGCCCAAGCACAAGGTTCCTTAACCAGATTCACCTCTAGAGGTGACAGACCAGGCATTTTAATTTATTTCCTTTTGGGGTAGACGTATAGACCCCTCTGAAGCATTAGGCAGCTATTGATCAAAGGGCGCCCTGGGGATCTGGAACATCTCTGGTTATTCATCCCCTGGGAGTCCCCTGACCACCGTGCTCTTCCTCACTCCAGGGTCTCTGAGATACCCAGTGTCTCCAGGTCTGGTCTCCAGGATCTCGGTGGAGCCTCCAGAAATGTTGTGTATTCAACAGAGAAGATTGTTCAGACATCCTGCAGCTACAATGAGTGTTCAGGATCCCAGTGTAGCACTAAACCATTCTCACGGTGAGTTCTTAAGCACAAAAACCATGTACTGTAATGACATACTTCAGTTAACAAGAACAGTTAGCCAGAAGCTGAGCTACAGAAGCCAAAACAAGGTTAGATCATTTTGAGGCTTTCCCAGATCTAAGGACTTACATGGGTTAGGTCCTTGTCATAATTTTTGGCAGGTTGTACTATTTATATGCTGAATTTTACAGCCTAAATGGAGTCAGTTGTGCTAAGGTCTGGGGCCCTGTTATACCAAGGAATAACTGACTTTACAGTCAAGCCAGCTTTTCTATTAGTCTCTTGGTTTCTAAAAATTGTATGTTTCGGCAGTATTTATGAAACTTGTTTATGCTTTGCAAATAAGGTGACTGTTAAGAGAAGCTTTTTCTTTGCTAGCTGCTTTGGTTTATCCCCCGCCAGCCGTCTGGGCTCTGCCGCTTTGTAGTCCCCAAATAAACACACAGGAGGCTATATTAACTATGAAGCTGTTGTCCTTGCTTGTTTCTTACTGGCTAGCTCTGACTTAAGTAATTACCCCATAATTGTTAATCTAAGTATGTCTCTTACCGGAGAGGTTTCCGGGCCTCCTACCCCATGGCGTTACATCTCGAACTCTCCTGTGTTTCTCCTTCCTAGAATCCTCCTGGACTCCTAGCCCCACCTATCTAGATTCCTATTGGCCAGCAGTAATTTATTGACATATACACAGGACTTCCCCAACAGTGACTGAAGCAGAAGATGATAAAAAATTAATAGGAAGAATCAATGAGTGAATGTATCTGCTAATTCATATCCTGTAGTGTTTAGGTATGGAACATGAATATCTAAAAGGAGACAGGAAGCTTTCTCTCTGAGGACTAGCTGTCATAGAACTTGAACAAACTATTCAAGGCACTAAGGGACCAAAGCAATCTATACATTTACCTAGGTATAACATTTATGGATCACAGCAATAGACAGAATGTCAAGGTATCTCAAAAGGTGCAATAGTAGACTTACATTTTGAGGTAAACAATAGCTATCTAGTTGAACTTAAAGACAATCTCAATAAGAAGGAATAATACCTGCAGTATCATACCTTTGACTGGTAGTCATGGAACCTAGAGTAGAACTAGTACTACCACTTTCCTAAACTAGTATAATTTCTAAATGCATTTATAAATGCTTATCCTTAAAACTGTGTAAGTATAAGTGTCTAATTATCACTCTTCTCCCTAATCAAAGCAGTTTCTTTTTCAGCAGAGGAAGACCATACAGAAATCTACAACTGGTCAAAATGCAGAGAACAAACGGCTGCGGGGCCCCAGCCGTAATTGATCCATCTAGAATATAGCCCTCACTGAAGGCTCAGGGAACATCGCAGAAACAGGAGAGGAAAGACTGGAAGAGCCAGAGGACTCGCATGTCACTGGGAGGTACTGCCATCTATATATGGCAGGGGAGCTGCACCAATGTTACCCTAACGATAAGCATACCTGAAAAGAACTAACACAATGACCCTATCAGTTGACCTGCCAACAAGACTTGGGGAAATCTCACAAGGCTTTACCCCCAGATGAAGAACTACAGGGAAGAACTATAGCAGCATAATGGTTGCTGAGAGATGAAGAATAAGCCTTTCACCGAACTAAGTCCCTAGCAGGATATACAATCCTTAGTGGTCTGTTCTAAACACATACACCTATGAGAAATGCCAAACAGACTTATCAGGTTATATTTATATGAAATCTATATGTATGTATATATGTATGTATGTTTGTATACATACATGTGTGTATGTATGGATACATATGAGATAATAATTGAAGAAGAAGATGATGATGATGAAGAGGGAGAAGAAGAAGACAAGCATTTGAGAGGGAGAAATACAGGATGAGTTGGAGTCAGTTCAGCAGGAAATGATGCACATGATGTAATACAGAACTCACATACGAAATTCTAAAATAAATTACATTAACAACTACAATAATGTCTAGTAGTATGGAGCCAAGCCTATGACTACAAAAATAGGACTGTCTACTACAGGCATGTTGATTCACAATTACAGAGGCACACTACTCTTCCTTCTTTTTCTGTTCCCATTTCCTCACTTTTCTTTGTTTTCTCTTCTTTTCTCCTCTTGGCATAGCCAAGGTACCTTGTGCACATTTATGAATCAAACATTACCTTGTTTTTGCTAGTTTTACTACAAAGTGGTTATGGACTAGGACATTGGCATATTCTGTATCAAATACTCTACATTCCCAGGAGGTTTGGACAATCAGTATAGTTTAGACTGAAATGTGAATATCCAAGGAGCTCATCTACAAATTATAGGTGACATCATCTTCAATACAAACTCAATAAGAAGTTAATAGGTGTTGGATGATTTTGAAAACTCATGTACTGGTCCACAGACATAGGCATCTATTGTACACTATATGCTGAAGTCCAATTTTCTACACTTTATTCATCATATGAACTCAATTTCTTTTCAAGTGTGTCAACCTCAAACCTAACGTTATGAATGGAATAGATTAATGGAAAAATATACCTTGTCTGAGTCAAATTGCACAAATAAGTAGCAGGGTTTGCTTCTATTTTTTTTAATTTCTAAGTTTACATGCATGGCATGCAAGCACAGGAGAGTTACTTCACAATGCTAAAATAGAATTTTGTGGCCGGGTGTTGGTGGTGCATGCCTTTAAGCCCAGCACTTGGGAGGCAGAGGCAGGCGGATCTCTGTGAGTTCGAGACCAGCCTGGTCTACAGAGCGAGTTCCAGGACAGCCTCCAAAACAATACAGAGAAACCTTGTCTCAAAAACCAAAAAACATAGAATTTTGTAGATTTAGGTTGATACCTCACTCACCTGAGTTCAATTCCTGGAACTCACGCAAAAAAAGCTGTGTGTAGGGGTACACAGTTGTTATTTCAATGCTGGGGAGAAGGAGACCTGGGAACATCCAGTTTACATAGCAAGCTCAAAAAATAATATAAAATAAGATAAAAGATGGACAGCATTCCAGGAATAAACCTGAGGTTGCCTTCCATTCCCCATACAAAGAGATATACATATGCTCCCCCAAACATGCTGAATATACACAAGAAAGAAGAAAGGATTTAAGGATCTGATTAAAAGTGTATGGGGTGGATTGTGAGAGTCCTCATTTTAGGCCCAGCCCCACAACTTCAAGCTCTGTGGTAAGGAGGATGTGTGCTCTAACCTCCCCAGGTTTCATTTAATAATCTAAGAAACTTGAATAGAGATCACAGGGATCATATGACAGTTGTCAGTAAAATGTGCAAAACATCTGACACATGGTCAGTCCTCAAATAAAGAACCGTGGAGCTTCTGATACTGCGGTTAAAGAGACAAAAGGCTGATGAGCTGGCTCAGTAGGTAAAGGGCAGCATGCATGATAATCAGAGTTTGACCTCTGGGATCTATCTGAAGTTGTCATCTGACTTTCACACCTGTACTAGTACACATGCACCCATCCCTAAATAAAAAATGTGAAACAGCTTAAAAAGAGGAAAGGAAAAGAAGACAGTTTTATGAGAGCATAGGGTCTGTTACAGAATAGAATATCTCTTGCAGTCCAGAAATCAGTGTACCGTTCTGGGATGTGGGCTGATAACAAAAACATATCGGTGGAAATTTAGGAAACTTCATGACTTCTTGCCCTAGTAGTTCCTGTACTTTGCAAAACTTAGAATAAAACCTGTGATGTATTTTTAATGTTTTAAATAACCTGGAAGATGGAAAGAAACCAGTAAATGCCCTTTCCCACCGAGCCTCAAATAACCAGAAGACAATGCTGGGTCTGAGCTCACAACCAAGCTGTCATTGCGATATATGACACAGCTCTCCAGAGCAGGCCACTGCTGTTGGTGACATGTGACACTTTTCTGAGAAACTAGGAGAGCTATCATTTCCCCATCTGGTTTAACCTCAGACATCATCTGCCTTATCTTCATATTTATCAAGTGAACTTGCACCTTTTTGAAACAGCCAGTGACAATCACAAGCCTCTGAGGGTGCTAGTGGGTTCAATGTTATGTGGGCCTGCGGGTGGCAGGGTGATGGATAAATAAATTATATTCTTCTGGAGCTAGTTTGGGCTTTGGGGAAGAGAAGGAATCCTAACCAGCACATTACGTCAGACACAGAAACCAACTCTGCAACAGAGGGCCTGTGCTCCTCCAATGCAGGCAGGACATGCAAAGAGCAAGCATTCCATCTCTGTAAAAGTGCCAAGGACTGTACCCTTTCCTAACACAGTGGGAATCAGTGTGCACCTCAGCAACCTTTGATCGATGGGGATGGAGAGAGTGTTCTGTCGGAGGAGATTCTGAGAGGAGGAGGACAAGGAGGAACCCCTGCATGGGCTGAGGAGTCAGGGCAGCCAGTATGGGGACAGCGATGAGTCAGGAGCTGGGGGAAGCTGATGGGGACTTCCTGAAATGGACGCTTCCTGGGCAGTCCATTCAACGAACCCTGGAATTTGATCTCATGTACCTGTCTAACAATTGCTGGATACTGAAGCATTGCACAGGCTGCAAATCTTAATGTTATCCCTCTCCATATACAAGTGATGCTACCTTCTTCAAAGAGATGTAAAAGATTGGATAAAAGAAGATGAATGCGATGCCTACTGCAGCATACATGATGAGTACTGTCTCTAAATACTAGTCTCAGGTTCATGTTGTTAGTAATAACAAGCCTTTTCTTTAAGTTTGTGTGATATTAGAAATTGTGTCTACAAAACATCGCATTATTCCCAAAAGGCACAGAAGAGTCTCTGATTTTACAGTGATTCAAGCAGCAACCACACCGGGAGTGCTGGGATCTTTCATGTTCCAGCCACTGTATCCCTGAGGGAACATTAGCTGAAATCCCTACTGGAGATCCACTATACAGCCACTGCCATTCCCAAGGGAGAAAAAAGTGTGTATGGTATACACAGAACAGAGTCATATTCATGTTGATGTGAAAGGCACACACCCCCACCTTCTTGTGTGAAAAGACATAAGGAGGGCTGGAGGGCTGCCCGAGGTTTAAGGAAGCTTCATTTCATGCAACTCACAGACTCAGGATCCTTTGGGATTCATGGGACTTTCTTCACAGAATGTATTCTGTCCATGTGTTTTGAGTCTTTGGCAGACTCTGGGTCTCAGGGACCATGCTGGCTCACAGGAAGAAATGATATGTTTCAGGCAAGCACCAAGCCTTACACTTCCCACCCTCATGCAGACAGAGTGCCACAGGCCCATTCACTGGAGCTAGGATAGAAGCCAAAGGGAACTTTCAAATTCAAGGCCAGAGATTAAATCTCAGTGCACAATGAGAGTGAGCACAAGTCCCAAAAGTCTTTTTTGTTGGGCTTTGTTGGTGTCCCAAACCCTCCAGTCTTGCCTGGTCACGGGAGATGGCCAGCTCAGGCTACATATCGCTTATTACTTGGAGTCTTAGCTTGGGTTGCCCTTGTAGATTTTTGGGATTTTGCCTTGCACCAGGTTTCTATTTCATCCCCAAAATGTACCCCCACTTGTCCAATAGTCTCTTTCAGTATTTTCCCCTTTCATCCCTCCCCGACCTGACACCCTGATGTTTCTATCCTCATCCTCCCTCAGTCCACCCACAAAATCTCTTCTATCTCTGGGTCTGTGGTTGGTAGTATGGCTATCCTCTATTTTATAGCTCATATTCACTTATAAGTTACTACATACTATTCCTGAATCTGGGTTACATCCCGCAGGATGATTTTTTATTAGTTCCATCCATTTGCCTACAAAATTTCATGATGTCATTGTTTTTAACAGTTGAGTAATACTCTATTGTGTAAATATACTACATTTTTAATTCACTCTTTGATTGCAGGACATCTAGGTTGTTCCCAGGTTTTGGCTATTACAAGTAAAGCTGCTATGAATACAGTAGAGCAAGTGCCTTTGTGATTGAATAGAGCATACTTTGGGTATATGCCCAAGAGTAGTATAACTGGGTTTGGGGGGTAGGTTGATTTCCAGTTTTCTGAGAAACTGATACATTGATTTCCAAAGTTGCTGTACAAATTTACACTCCCACCAGCAATGGAGAAGTGTTCCTCTTGGTCCACATCCCCTCCAGCATAAGCTGTCACTTATGTTTTTGACCTTAGCAATTCTGACAGGTGTAGATGGAATCTCAGAGTCATTTTGATTTGCATTTCCCTGATGGCTAAGTATGTTGAACATTTCTTTAGGTATTTCTCAGCCATTTGAGATTCTTTTGATGAGAATTCCCTGTATAGATCTTTACCCTATTCTTTTTTTTATTTCCTTTTTTTCCAGTTTAAATTTAGATAAGAAACAAGGTTGCTTCACAAGTCAGTTCCAGGTCCCTCTCCCATTCCCTCCCCTCTTCCCATGCCCCCCACCCCCCTTATCCCCTCATTCCCCCAGGGATGGTGAGGCCCTCCATGGGGGTGTCCATAGTCTGTCCTTTCATATAGGGCAGGGCCTAGACCCTTCCCCAAGAGTTCAGGGTGAGAGTGCACCTCACATTGTTCTATGGGAGTCCAAAGTCCGTGTGTATACTTGGGATGGGTACTGATCTGCTGCCCAAGGCTCAATAGATTCCCTAGGCCTCCTCACTGACACCCAGCTGTTTCTGGGGGTTAAACCAGCCCAGTCTTAATCCCTTTGATCATCAGTCCTCCCTCTCTGTTACTGGCTTTCTTGAGTTCAGCTCAGTACTTAACCAAGGGAGTCTGCCTCTTCTTCGATCAGCTACTAAATGAAGTTTCTGTTTCCCAGACTCTCTGGCCATAGGATTGTAGGCTGGCACTCCCCAGATCTATGTCTAAAATCCATATATGAGAGAGTACATGCCATGTTTCTCTTTTTGTGACTGCTTTACCCTATTCTTAAATTGGATTATTTGGCTTTTTGTTTTGTTTTGGGTTGTTTGTTTGTTTGCTTTCTTGTTTGAGGCAGACTTTCTCTGTGTAACAACAGCAACACCATCCTGGAATTTGCCAGCCTCTAATTCACAGAAATCTGCCTGCCCTTGCCTCTCTAGTGCTGGCATTAAAGGTGTGTGCCACCACTCCCAAATGTATTTTTATGTCTAGTTTCTTGAGTACTTTATAATTTTGGACATCAGCTCTTTGTCAAATGTGGAGTTAGTGAAGATCTTTCTGCCACCGGGCGGTGGTGGCATATGCCTTTAATCCCAGCACTCAGGAGACAGAGGCAGGTGGATCTCTGTGAGTTCGAGACCAAGTCTGGTCTACCGAGCGAGTTCCAGGACAGGCTCCAAAACAATACAGAGAAACCCTGTCTCAAAAGAAACAAAACAAAACAACAATAAAAAAGATCTTCCTGCCTATGGGATGTACTGGAGTAAGGGTAGTGCAAAGATTGTGGGGGTGGCCCATGGAGGGCCTCACCCTCCCTGGGGGAATGAGGGGATAACGGGGGGGGGTTGGGGGAGGGCACGGGAGGAGGGGAGGGAAAGGGAGAGGGACCTGGAACTGACTTGTGAAGCAACCTTGTTTCTTATCTAAATTTAAACTGGAAAATAAAATAAAAAAAGAAAAGACCTATGCCTTACTTTTACTCCCTTAGAAAAGCATATTTAAAATTTCCAATGTTATTTTCTGTTTTAAATGTCTTTTCGTTTTAATGTTAAAGTATTAAAGTCATTTTTAAATTAAAAAAAAGATTGTGGGGGTGGCTAAGCAAAGACTGGTCCATCTTGAGACCCATACCAGGAGACTGAGTCCACTCCTGATACTACCTGGAGTTCCAGGACCCAGAAGCTGGATGGCCCAGAGACCTAGCTTAGAAATAAAACGATTGGGAAAAAAGTCAATGAAATGATTCCTAATGGTATTCTGTTATACTCATAGACTGGTGCCTAGCCCAGCTACCGTCAGAGAGGCTTCATCCAGCAGCTGATTGAAACAGATGCAGACCTAGAGCCAAACATTCGGCTGAACTCAGGGAATCTTGCTGAAGATAAGAAGGAAGGATTATAGGAGCCAGAGGGGTCACAGGCACCACAAGAAAACCAACAGAAACAACTAACCTGTGCTTATAGGCACTCACAAAGACTAAACCAACAGCCAGGGAGCCTGAATGGCACTGGCATAGGCCTTCTGCATATATATTACAGTTGTATAGCTTTCTCTACTTGTGGGACTCCTAACAGTGGAAGCAGGGCCTGCCTCTGACAATTTTGCTAGATTTTGGGTCCCTATCCCTCGTACTGGGCTGCCTTATCCAGACTTGATACAAGGGGAGGTCCCTAGTCTATTTTTTTTGGTTTTATGAGACAAGGTTTCTCTGTATTGTTTTGGAGGCTGTCAGTCCAGCCTGGCCTCGAACTCACAGAGATCTGCCTGCCTCTGCCTCCTGACTTCTGGGATTTAAGGTGTGTGCCACCACTGCCCGGCTGAGGTCTCTAGTCTTATTGCAACTTGATATGTAATGTTAGGTTGATATCCATGGGATACCCGCCATTTTCTAAATAGAAACAGAGAAACCCATTCCCTATGGAGGCATACCTTGCTCAGCTTAGATGCAGGGGCATGGCCTCAGTCTTGCCTTAAATGTTGTGGCGTCGGGCATTGGTGGCGCACGCCTTTAATCCCAGCACTCGGGAGGCAGAGGCAGGTGGATCTCTGTGAGTTCAAAGCCAGCCTGGTCTACAGAGTGAGTTCCATGACAGTCTCCAAAACAATACATCGAAACCCTGTCTTGAAAAACAAAACAAAAAAAAAGTGTTTAGTCACATGGCAAGGAGCCACAGGTGCTATTCCTGGGAATCATGGGGTACTCAGAGGCTTTTAAAAAGAAAACAGCTGACATGGGAATACATGAACAAGGACAATACCTTTCAGTGACGTCAGCAGTCCTTACCAAAAGAAAGTCTTTCCCCTAGAAGACAGCTATGAACATCGTCAAGCTAAACCACAGTGACTGCAGTTCTGTAAAAAGTCTAACCTTTGGGGAGGCAAGGTGATTTCAAGACAGTGCAGGTTGCCTAAAATGTGATGGGGGAAGACATTCGGTGCCCTCAGAAGTCTTCAACACACACACACACACACAGACACACACACACAGACACACACACACAAACACACACACACTCACACACACACAAACTCAAGAATCACCAAACCCCTGGACGTTCATCTGTGAGTGTGGGCCTATACACCTGTTCAGAAAACACACACACACACACACACACACACACACACACACACACACACAAAGAATCACCAAACCCCTGGACGCTCATCTGTGAGTGTGGGCCTATACACCTGTTCAGAAAACACACACACACACACACAGACACAGACACACACACACACACACACACACACACACACACACACACACACACACACAAAGAATCACCAAACCCCTGGACGCTCATCTGTGAGCTGGCCAGGAAAGGGTGCTGTGTGTGAGGATGGAGGCTCTTGACAGGGGATCCAAGACTTTGTGGGGGTGCTGCTCCAGAAACATCTTGCAGTGGGGTTGAAACGGAGGAGTCCCCGGGCTCAGTGACTGGGAAACTGAGGAACAGAGAGGCTATGGAAAATGGGGATAGGGGCCGTGTGCAAGTGTTTCAGGTAAGGGCTGAGGCAAGATGGTTGACAAGCCGCAGAAGAGAACCTGTTGAAGAAGGCAAGCTGCGTGTGACTCAGCAAAGATTATTCTGGCAAGACTGCCATTGGTCATTCTGGAGACACCGGCCTTCTGCCTATAAATAAGGCAGTGCTGTTCATGATGGGAGAGGACTGTGACGCAGACCTCCACCCTGCTGCGTGGGCCTTTGTCGGGGAGGCCCCGGCCCCCACTGCTGCTGCCATGTCTGGCCGAGACTCACACGTGGTGGTGAGGACCCTGTGCAATGTCACAATGGGGTGCACCTCCCCAGCGCGGAGGAGCTAGAAGCTTCGCAGTCAGAGCAGTGCTGGGCGCCTGCGCAGTGATCCCTCAGCGTCTCGTGTTGAAGGAGTCTAGAGACCCCCGCCTCCGCCCCTCGCCCTTCGCTCTTCGCTAAACGCTCGCGCACGCGCACCCGGCCGCGCGCGCACGCGCCTCACCTCGCTCAACCCCTGCCTGGTCTGCGGGCTGCAGAACGGGCGCGCGATCGCGGGCAGGCGGGCGAGCGAGCCAGCAGGCGGGCGGGGACCGCGCACCGTCCACTCGGGGGCTGTGCGGAGGAGGAGCGGGCTCCGGGCTCCCGGCTCCAGGCGGCGGAAGCGGCGCCTCCAATCAGGCGGCGGGCTCGCGACCCTCGGCGTGCCCGGCCTGCGCTGCCCGCCCCGCGGACTGACTGACGCGCCGGCTCGCCCCCGCCCCCGCGCCCGCCCCCTCCTAGTCTCCCCGGGCTCGGGCTCAGCTCGACTCGGCTCAGCTCGGCTCCACTGCTCTGCGCTCTCGTCTTCTCCAGCCCTCGCCAGGCCCATTCCCTGCCCGCAGCGGCTCCTCGGCTGTGCGGTGGCGGCCCGCTTGCGCTCGGCATCTGCAAGAGACCCAGAGGCGGCGGCGGCGGCGGCGGCGGCGGAGGCAGTGGCAGCGCCGAGGATGAAGTGCAAACCGAACCAGACGCGGACCTACGACCCCGAGGGCTTCAAGAAGCGCGCCGCGTGCCTGTGCTTCCGCAGCGAGCGCGAGGACGAGGTGCTGCTGGTGAGCAGCAGCCGCTACCCCGACCGCTGGATCGTGCCCGGCGGGGGCATGGAGCCCGAGGAGGAGCCGGACGGCGCGGCGGTGCGCGAGGTGTACGAGGAGGCGGGAGTCAAGGGGAAGTTGGGCCGGCTGCTGGGCGTCTTCGAGCAGAACCAGGACCGCAAGCACCGGACCTACGTGTTCGTGCTCACCGTCACCGAGCTGCTGGAGGATTGGGAAGACTCGGTCAGCATCGGCAGGAAGCGAGAGTGGTTCAAGATCGAAGATGCCATCAAGGTCCTCCAATGCCACAAGCCCGTGCATGCCGAGTACCTGGAGAAACTGAAGCTGGGTGGCTCCCCCACTAATGGAAACTCGGCCGCCCCGTCCCTGCCCGAGAGCGAGCCCTAGTATGTACCGCTCCCGCCCGCCCGGACTCCTGCCTGTCGCCTCCCCGCACTTGCCTCCTGCCTGCCTGCCTGCCTGCCCGCCTGCCTGCCTGCCAGGAGAGCACCTCTCCTGCCCTGTGCGCCGGCACGGGCAGGAGGGAGGCTTCTTTTGTTTCCTTGGCAGGCAGACCTCTGAATCACGCTTGCAAACTGTCTCGGTTGCCAGGCGCTGTTTGCAGACAATTTGCACGTTTTTCAGATGCTTTTCTAATCGCTTCTTGGTGACACTGTAAAAATCTTGCGGTCAGCCAGTGCTGCATGGGATTTCGTGAAAGGTGCCTTAGCTGCTTGTCCTGCTCTTCATGGAGGGTGCGCTTGTGGTGTGTGTGTGTGTGTGTGTGTGTGTGTGTGTGTGTGTGTGTGTGTGTGTGCGTGTGTCTGCCCTGTGATGTTTTTGTTTGGATGGTGATTTTTCCCCCTAAACACCCTTTACATGTGTTTATGCGTGAGTGTGCGTGCGCACTTTTGATGTCAGGCTTGTGGTCTGTTTCTTAGTGGAGGCCTTTAGAGTCCTACCAGCTATCGAGGGCGGGGGAGGAGGCGGGGGCCATCTTTTTATGCTTTCCCCCCTTGTTTTCTCATTCACAGGCTTCACAGTGAATATGACTGGAGGGCATATTTCTACCAACGTTCTAAATGTTTCTACACTCTGTAATAAATATACATGGATGGCGACACTAATTGGAGCATTTTATTCTATAGGTTACCTTTCCAAAATTTGGTACACATAGAATTGAATACCATTCTATTGCCTCTCTTGGCTCTCTGTTACATAAATCCATCTAAGAAAAATATGTGTAGTAAACAAAATTGATACTGTCAAAGAAATGAGTATAAACTTGCTTACCAAAATTATAGCTTCTAGAAACCAAACATGTAATTTAATATCCTAGATAATGCTGAATTATTGAATATGGGTTTCACTAATTACTGAGCAATCTAAATCACTTGAATAGATATTCCCAGTAACTTCAGTCTTAAGAGTATGCACTAATCCTACAGAAACTGGATTTTTGTTTTATTTCTGTATTGTATACATAAAAATACCTCTCAACTAAAAATGTCAGGGATATGTTGGGGGTTTAACCACAATGTTAATATTCTAGAGGTAATAGTACACCGTATTATATTTTGATATTTGAACTATTTGACTAATTTTAGTTGACTGCTGATTTAAGTAAATTGCAGTCTTGTTCTGTAATCATACTTTGTTGCATTTAAATGCATTTGAATTGAGCACTACGGTTCGCTGAGTTTTTTGGGGACCCACAGATATTGCTTATGCAATTTGCAATCTTGCTGTATTTCCCATTTCCATATTGCAAGCAAAAACCAGTTCTCACTCTTTAAGTTCAAAACTATACAGTTAAGTATCCTTTCCAGGGTTCATTCTAGAAAATAATTAAATGAAAGCCTCCAAATAATCTAACCTTTTAATAGAATAATTCCAGGAAATTCAGATGAAACTGCTGACACGGAAATAAAGCAAATCCTGTCTATGTCTTATATTCTCAAAAAGTTTTACATGTTGACTGCAGTGAAGATGTGCAGCTGAATGCCATTTCCCCCACATCCAGTGTACTGATGAAAGATAATGAAGACTTTTCCACAAGATAACAGAAATTTGTTTTCAGCGTGTTGTCTTAAAGGGCTGATTTTCCCTCCACTGGACAAGTGCCTATGCTTATCCTTTAAAAAGCTTGAAGTCAAGCTGAAGTCAAAGTAGTTTTGATATGCTTGATGCAGGCATAAGATGTATTAGAACCCTATGTTTTGTCGATCAGATGGTTTTTGCAAGAAGGGCTGAAACACGACTACAAATAATTCTTGGTATGTTTTCACTGGAAAGGATTGTTGTAAAGCTTTATATAGAAGCTTCAGTAAAAGTGGAAGTGTGTAAGAACAAGAACAGGTAGCTTGTAAAATAGCAGCGTGGGTAGCAGCACTTCTGGGACACACGGTTTAACAGGTTCTGGACCTGGAGTTGCCTCTTTCCTCACTTCCCTTTACATGGAGTTCCTTTATAAGAAAGAACAATGTCTCCCTCAGTAGTTGTTCACTGGGGAAGGGAGCCGAAAATGCTTAGAGCACATACAATACTAACAGCTAGCCAATCTTTTTTTCCTCAGAGATCTTTTTGTGGAAGCACCTATTGTAGTTATGTTCTTAACTGTTTTCCTAATATGAACCCTTTGAGGACTAGGACCCAACCTGAATCCTGCATAATAACTCCAGGGCCTCAAAACAGAGGCTACAATTTGTCGTTGACTCACACTAAACGTGTCTACTACCATCGAATTCCTGATTTTCTTTTTTAAGCTTCATAACATACCTGGGAGAATTTACTTCTTTAGGCTCTGACCCGTGCTTACACTGGAACTACACTGGATAATTCACTGCAGGCTTTTCCGGTATAAAGGGTTGATGAACCATACTAAATCCTCAGTAAATATTTGTTGTCTAGACTCTACAGGAATGGACAAACCAGTAAAACCTTATTAATCAGATTATCTTTTTTTAGGTGAATGGAATAAATGTTGTTCAGATTTACTTTGAAAGAATCAAGTATGTGAACCCAATGATGAATGGAATTGTGAAGCACAGGTGAGCTCTTTGACATCCCCAAGGACACAGCTCATCCTATGCTTTTGGACGCTTCTTTCCTGTTATTAACAATGGCTATTCTTCAGGTTGTTGCACTACCACTGTATCTGTACACAATTCTATTCGGCACCTGTGGCCTTTGTGTGCTTTTGTCTGTATTTCCCCATCAAATATGACCTTGAATGCAAAGAAATAGCTTTCTTAGTCTTTTTATATCTAGCAGACATTACTTGATATATGGTAGGTGTCACTGAATATTTGTTTAATATTTTGTAATGATAATGAATGGTAAAACATCCCTCTTCTAATCTCTCTAGCATAGATGTATGTGGCTTTTGTATATCAGGTGTCACACAACTATTTCAAGGCAGCTGTGAGATAGTAGCAAAAATTCATATGTCTGTGTTATCCCAGACATTATGTACCTCCTACATTTGCCAAAATTTTGAACCCAAATTTAACTGTGCCTCTAGACATAATTTTTTCTCTATAGAAAATACAGGAGATAGAGAAACAGTTTACTGTATATCAAACATATGAGAGTCATAGAATCCTGACTTCAAGAAAACACAGAACAGATGATCCAGTTTCTTCAGTATATAAGTCACGAGGATGAAAGGAAAGGGTGGAGCTTGAACCTGTGGATTGAAAAGGCCTTCAGAGAGTGATCAGTACTTGCATGGATCTTGTTTGGATCCCGATTTAATGAAACTATAAGGTGAATGAATTAGACAGCTAGAATATTTTGAGCATTGGCTGGATATTTTCACGTTGATTATTATAGTGTTGTTGTTATATTGGAAACAAGACTTCTAATCTGCATTCAAATATTTACAGTTGAAATGATATAATGTCTGGGATTTGCTTCAAAATACGTCTAGCTATTAAATACACTGGACATACTCAAACAAGATTGGCCTTTAAGATTGTTGAAGCTGAATGATGCTTAAATGATGTTCATATGTTCATCTCTGCTTTTGTATGTTTGACATTTTCCATAATAAAAAAGTTAATCATCGGAAATGTTGGAGTTCTTCTAATTAACTCTAGTATATAATGTAGAGAGAAAAAAGTGAGGAGGGAAAAGTTTATAGATTTTTATTTATTTTATTTGGTTTTTCGAGAAAGGGTTTCTCTGTGGCTTTGGAGGCTGTCCTGGAACTAGCTCTGTAGACCAGGCTGGTCTCAAACTCACAGAGATCTGCCTGCCTCTGCCTCCCAAGTGCTGGGATTAAAGGTGTGCGCCACCACTGCCCGGCTATAGATTGAATTTTAAACTGGTCTAAGATGTCAGATTCACAGAAATACAAGGGGACATGACCTGGAAAAGGCTAGTTACATTCTGGGTATAGATCAGTGCTTGGACTTTTTCTTATACTTTGTCCTCCTGAAACAGTAACAGTTAAATTATTATTTACAACCATTGGATCACATTTTCTTTATTCAGGAGAGTATTTTAATAAATCTTGGTTTTCATTTACAGCTATTAGGAAGTGGTGTTTGGTTCTACTATACTGAGGAGAGGTTTTGGTACAATTTGCATTCTAGCTCATACCAATGTGAAACTAAGGGACAGGGTCTCTAGGAGATTATTTTATAAAAATCCACATAATGCCATTTTAATAGTTTCTTGTGGGAACAAACCCCATTAGTTGTAGATGTGTGCACTGCACATGGTGACTAATCTATTTGAAGGCAGGTAAATCAAGAAAATAAGCAGTTAGAATTCCTGACTGCAGGGGGTCACGGGCAGCAGAAATGAAGACATAGGTCAGAATAACTAAAGGTGAGCTTTTACTAACAGGGTAGGTTCAGTCCTGACACTTGTGAGTTAAGGAGCAGGAAGGCAGTTCAAGCCACACGGGCCCTTGGGACAGATGATGATTTCTTCCCGAGGTATGAAGAAATGTGAAGCTGCAGCTTTTGCTCCTGATAGTTTAGTGTTCCTAATCTCAAGGCCAAGCAGTTGCCTTGAAGCAACTGTTGTCTGGATAGGGGAGATGAAAATCTCATCTTAGAGGCTGTTCTCTCGAAAGCCGGTTAGTGCTTTCGGTTCCAGGGCACCCACTGAGAAGGCAGCATGATCCCCCTAAAAATGCCCCTCTTCCCCTGGCAGTTGGTTCCTAATTTGGGTCAAATGATTTGAGGAGATTTAAAAGTGGAGGCAAGCAGACCCATGGGAAACTTGAGGTGATGGAAGTGGTCAAATAGTGATTTGGAGTCCAATATCTGTGGCTCAAAGACGATTCAAGCAGAGACTGTAATAGCCTCTGCCAAGTCACTTTGTCTGTCCAGTCTTCAGTTTTGCCATCTGTAAAGTACAGCAGGTATTTATAGTCCCTACCTTTGCAAACCACTGCTTCTGAGAAGCTCTTTATCTCTTTGAGTATAGCATAACAATGTTTGCCCAATATCCCACTGCCCTGTGGGGTCACAGTTTTATCCCACCATATTAAACTTACTCAATTGAATTGTAAGAGTTCCTGGCTCTGAGACTGTAACCGGGTTTCCCCTTATTCCCTGAGTCTGGAACATGGTACTCATGGTGCCTGTGAAAGGTTCATGATATTAATTATTGTCTCAGCTGTTCAAAAAAAAGCCCCAAACATACAATACACAACATTGTAACTTTACTGGGGATCTGCTTTCTCGAAAATAAGAAAGCTGAGATACCAAGACCTTGGATCACATTTTTCTTTATTCAGGATAATACTTTAATAAATGGTGATTTTATTTTCTCAGTTTTCCATTTCTAATATATTTTCCTAACTTCTTAACTTCATTACACATATTACATGATTTTTCATTAGGTGCAAAATTGGCCCCACAGAACTTTATAAGATAACTAACTCAGTGAAGGCTTCCCAGACACAAATGATTGAAGGACATGGTATTTACTAAATACCCTCTGTATTTAGTCAGCATAACAACTGCTGCATGACACAAGTATGCTAGTTATAATAGTTCAGTTTATAATAAGTGACATAGCAATTCGAGTATGTAGTATCAAGCTCCCACATACAATGCCAAGGCCTGACTGATCAAATGTAATCTAAACTTAAATTAACACTACAAAGAATGAGCCACAGGGTTCACAGCTTCCTTGGTTCTGGCCCTATACACCCAAAATACAAAGAACAATGGAATGATGCTTGTTGTATAAATTGTGGGATACTCTGTTGCAGAGGAGTGACAGTGGTGTGGTTTTACATTCTGTAACTCTGAGGTCACATCCGAAACTTACCTGAGAAACTGGTTCATGACAGCCTTCCAGGGAAGTCACTTAAAACTTTCCATCTTCTATTCTGGGATGGTTACTAGAAGTTACTAGAAGTTTAGTTGCAGTGACAAAGGTAGGTCACCTGTTGGGGCTGCTTTGAAGATACAGAATGAATTCCAATACAAAATTTGCTTTCAATAAAAAGGGTCATGATATCAAATCCAGATCAAGCAGGCATTTAAAGTTCTGTTACTTATACAGAGGCTTTTTGGGGGCAGTGGGGGATGGAGAGGGTGTGAGTTGGGGTGGGGGTGGGGCTTGGAAACCTTTAAAGCTGGCCTGAACTTTCTAGAGAAGGGGACACTTGGAGTTTGTATTGGGCTTGTGGCCTGGGGCTAGAGTAAGGGTTCCAGTGCCCAGCTGGCAGTATGAACTCTGTTGGCCATCAAAGGATAGAGTGTTCTGTTGTTTTTTTCTTAACTTGTAAGCATGAAGCAGAAGAGAAATGGTTTAAATGCTGCCAGCGACCAAGCATATAAAAGATTTTATAATTTATCTTTGATTTTGGTAAGTAAACTATTTGAACAGTACCATGCTCCCTTAATTAAACTTAGCATTAGAGACCTGTTAGGATAGGGAAAGTTTTGTCAGGTGACTTAGTTTGGCTGTGGGTTGTGGCTCAGGTGTAGAGTGCATTCAGTTATCATCATTACAAAAATAAAGTCTTGTGCTAGAGCTCAGCATTGTATATTCAGACAAAGAAGAAGGAATTCCTTGACTCAACAATGCCTGGAACTCTGAAAACAAAAGCGAGTGTCTTGATTCAGCCTTGATTTATAATTAAGGCACCCACTGCATTAGCTACAATATAAGATTTAATTGTTCTGATCCTTAGGGTTAGTCTTTTTATTTTTCAGGAATATCCTGCTTAAGTGATGACAAGTTCTTGTGGGAGTGTGTGTATGTTCATAAATGCCCACCCAAATCCTATTTTCCTTCATTCAGTTGAACCTAAAGGGGTCTCTAGGTAGACAATGAATTTGGGAAAGGGGTAACTTCATCCAGCACAGAATCTAGCAAATAACTGAGGACAGGGTGTCCATTCTCACCTGCAAGTCTGATGCCACAAGCATCTTCTCTCAGTCCTATAGCAAAAAGTTTGATAGCTATGGTGACTTGAAGGTACTGATTACAAAATCTGGCCAAGGATGTGAATAGAAGGCAATATGCTAAGGATCTGTAAAAACTCTTTGCAGGAAACACCAATATGAACCCAGAAATATCTCCTCTAAAGATATAGCATGGGTTTTATGTCTTAGGCAGCAGAAGACAGAAGACAACAAATGGCCATCAGGGACTAAAGCAGGCATGAGAGTAGGTTGCTAAAGCTTCTCCACTGATGGAGTCTCTGTCAAGCGTGGTATTAATAAGAGTCCCTGTAGTATTGTATTTGAAAATTGCTAGACCTTTGCTGAGATGATGAACTTTGCAAGTAATGATGTAAATGTGATGGTAGAATTTATAGGTGCCTGCAAAATGCAAAAATGCCTAAAAGACATTCATTTTCATGTGGTGGGTGCTAAGAACATCAGTGCCAGGGAGAAAGCAGTTCTCAATTTACCAAATAATTAAAGACATTTAAGGCATTGTGTTACATGTGCAACAAGGGTCCCTCATTTTCTTATAAGCTATTTTTTGAGTATTTGTATAGTCTGTCGTTCATATCTGTAGGTGCTGTTCCCATGATTTTTGCAACAGGGGATCAAAAGTATTTTTAAAAACTGCACTTGTACCTAACATGTACTGGGCTGTTTTCTCGTCATGATTCCCTAAACAGCACACATGACAACTATTATGTAAGGCATGTAGAGATGATTTAAAATTAAGAAGATGTATTATATGCGGATAGCATGAGATAGCATGTCATTTTATATAATGGATTTCAGCATGTGATAACTGTGATACCTCAAGAGAAGGGGCAGATATCCTGGAACCAATCTACCATTGAGAGGTCAATGTATGTCCTAAGTATTTTTTTACAGGATCAGTTATTAGGAGGATGCCACTGACATGCTGTTATGTCTGTGCTTCTGGAGAAAATCAGATGCAATTAGGTCCTGCCTCTGGCCAAATGGCTGTTGATGTAGGCAATGGCCAAATTTCTTTAATTGACAATTGGATTAAGTGATTATTTTATATATTATAGTATTACTCCCAGGGGTCTTAATGGGTAAGACCATGGCATTAAGGCTGTGATAACCAAAAAGACTCACTAACTCATTCATTCATTCCAAGTTTAAGAGCTGAATAAATTGGGCAGTTAAATGGAAAAACAGTTGAAACCATCACTTCCTTTCCTAAATACATCTTGTATAATGGTTTCAAATGTTAAAGGTCTTATTTTTTATTTTTATTATTTATTTTTAAATTTAAATTTAAATTAGAAACTAGGTTGCTTCACAAGTCAGTTCCAGGTCCCTCTCCGTTTCCCTCCCCTCCTCCCGTTCCCTCCCTCCAGCCCCCCAATATCCCCTTATTTCCCCAGGTAGGGTGAGGCCCTCCATGGGGGTGTCCATAGTCTGGCATATTAATTATATAATTGAGAAGGTGGGCTCCCATTTCTTAAAGCCATTGTATAAAGGTGAAATATTTAATTTTGATTGATTGATCAGTGAGTCAAAACATCAAAAGGGATAGCATCAGGTTTCTCATCAGTTTGTCTAGATATGATCAGATGAAGGGAGAGAGGTGATGTTTAAAGATTTACAGGAGTAATGGGTGTGGTAGCATGTACCTGTTATCA